TATATATAAGCGCGTGCGCACACACAGCCATACACAGAAGCTCTCTCACACAGCCTCTCCTCCACACACACATGTGTACACAAAATTTAATAAGCTCACCTCCTGAACGTGAGGTTGCGGGTTCGAGGGTTCCAGCCTTTGGCACGACACTGTGTGCTTTGGAGAGGCACTTTACCTGCATTTTCCTCACTTTATCCAGTTGTGAATGGGTACCTGGCCGTGGACAGCCGTGAAAGATCTTGTCACTATGTTAATGTTTAACACCTGTAAAAATGTAGCTCTCCCTGTATGCTTCCCAGGAAGTTAAGAATGTTCAGAATGCTATAGGGTATGCTGGAATAATAATAGATTGTAAGGCGCATATAGATTGCTGTTGGGAGAGAATTTGTGCTGTAAAATGCCATCTATTGTCTGTACATATTATATTTGTCAAAGTCCGTCATTTTGGCCGCCTAAAACTTCCGAACTACTTAACTTTCGAATCTGAAAATAATCAATGGTGGTTCAGAATCATTTCAACGGTCCACAGTTTTATTGAGGAGCCTGAAGTCACTGTAATTTTTTTTTCAGTTTTTCATTAGTTTCGTTTAGATCTAATCTTGGGAAAGTCCGTCCTCTACGACGCCATTGTAAACAAGTGAGGTTTCCGTTCATTAGCCGTGCGCACTGTTTCCACACCTTTGAAATTCTGGAGTGTGCAACCACGAAAGCGGAATAGAGAATCAACCTAAACATGATAATCACTATATCTAAACCTTCACATTTTTTGCATCTCTCAGGATTTGTTGCTCCATTCCAGTAGAGTGTACATATAGTAGGCCAATGACTTTCAGTTCATGTTAATGCACCGATCATTCCTTTCATCGAAATGATGCCCAGCTAGTCATTTATGATAATAATGTAATGGTATGCTTGCCGTCACAAATAGACCACTTTGAAGTCATATGAATAAATTATAAATAAACAGTAAATTGTTAATATTAATTGCATTTAGCTAGATACATTATCAGTATTCTGATTGTAAATCGCTCACAGCTGTCTAACCGTTTCTCTCTTAGAACAACGTCAGCAACATCTCAAACGTCAGAACAGTCAGTTACGTCACAACCCAGCTTCGTATCATTGGCGTCAGAGCAGAGTTTGACGTCAGAGACTAGTGACCAGAGTGAGACCAGCCAACAGTCGGTGATGTCAGAAGTCAGTGCCCAGTCGGCCAGCTCGGGTACCAGTGAAGTTTCTGCAACATCGGCCACTTCCGATCAGAGTGACCAGTCTGTGACCAGCAGTGCTCGTAAGTATTTCGACTACTCAGCGTCACACGATACTTTGCAAAATGTCATAGGGCGGAGTCTTACACTAAGCAATCGATTTGCTTTGCTTTTTTCTCTTATATGGAGTCACAAAATGACCGACAGACAGAGAGACCACAGGGGGGAAAAACCCAGACAAACAGATAGTGAGAGAAAAATCAATAGTAGAGAGAAAGATAAAAAGAGAAAGAAGGACAGACAGAAACAGACAGACACAATCACGGTCTTTTACAGCACACGAAAGTTTAAGATTCAAGTCCATTAGTCCAATAAAAGGCTTCCAATCCAGCTTTTTGTGCGTGTGGTCATCTGTTTTAGAGCCAGTGCTTTTGTCTGAGAACAACTCTTTGTGTTCTGAGATGCATTTTTAAAATGTGACCAACAACATAAAAGGTCAATCTTCACTTTTGTATCCATTCAATTAAAAACAATAGCACTTCTGACATAACCCTTTTCAGCAGAAGCCAAAGTCTGGATTATGAGCGAAAGGGAGGGATACATATAAACATATGTATTTCCCATACTGCTTGTGACTAGGTGTATGTCTCTATAAAAAGGAAAATAACTTACATGCTAGTGCTAGAGCATTCGAAAAGAAAACATCCACACTGTTACTATTGGGAAAGACAGAACTGTTCCATTGTGTGGATTATCGTTAAAAAAAAATAACGTCAGAATGTGGTTGTGTGTGTGTGTGTGTGTGTGTAGGGGTATCTTTGATGTACCTGTTCTATGCCACCATCGACAAAAGTAATAGCCACCAGTCAGCACTAATGCACTAATTCGAGGTGAATGAGAAAATGCATCCCAGTAGATAGACTAAGAAACTCCTTTTTTTTAATTAATTAAAATTTTCAAAATAATGTTTTAAAAATTATTAGATCTATTTAAATAAAATAAAGGCCTTTCCCATTTGAGAATTGGTCTTTTATCTTTCTTCATGAAACAGCCAAAAACCTATCCGCTACCCCACAGTTGCAGGTAATCATCTGAAAAAAGAGCTGACACTAAATTTAATGACAACTTGACTGTTAACATCTGAATGACCCGTGTCACGTTTTTCCCCAGCCTTGTGTTTGATCGAGTGTGGAACACAGCCGGACGGAGACTACCCCTACTGCACCGACTGTTCCAGATACGTCAGATGTGTTGGCTCCTCGGAACAGTTTCTCTCTTGTTCTTCTCCCCTACTTTTTGACACGGCAATATCATTGTGCAACACTGGAGTCTCCTGCGAGTAAGTTAGCACAGGGTACAGGACTCTATATACAACGTCACATGGTATGGGACACATTACACAACGTTCACTTCCCTCCACCTTCACTTACCCCGTAGTCTGGCTGACTGTCGAGGTACCACTGCATAATTTATACGCAGCCTCTTCCTCTCCTCGTGGTTCTTAGAATCCCGAGGTAGGATGTTCCAGTCACGACCAGTCCACTGTTCACTGTTGCATTTCCATCCTTTTCTCTGTCTACCTATTTGTTTCTCTCCTTGTGCTGCACCCTGTTGGATAATCTTGGCCACTCCAGATATAGGTAAATACATTTACAATGTACAGGTTATCACTCGCTCACTCGTCCCTCGAATGGTGTATTCGGTGGTATCTGCACTCAGATATTAATTTTGTTTTCTTAATGTACCCCTGTCTATCATTCCTTTGAGTGATTCTCTCGGCGAAAAACAGTCCATTCTTCAAAGTAGATGAGCCAGCATGGTCTGTGCTGTTCTCTTGTTCAACGGCATTCATCCATGCCCTGAGAAATGATTTTTGCGAAGGCTTTCATACCGAACTGTGTGTGCGAACCAGGCGGATTTTCTCTTTGTGACTATGTCTATCTCCCGACATTTGCAGTGTTTTCCCAAGATAACTTTACACCAGACAGACATGGTCCTTAGTGACACCTCCACCTCCCCCTCCGACCCGTTAGTTTTCATTTGAGTTCGATTCGTGGGTGGTTGGTGGGTGTTCTTGTGGGGTTTGCTCCATCTTTCCTATCAAACATCTTTCGGCCTTATGTCTCCTCATATTTTGTGTTTGTTGTTCTTTTTTAAAACCTATTGTATATTCCAGGCGTGGTTCGACCATAGAGCACGGTCGTGCAGTGCCGTCCAAACTGTTGTTTTTTTAATGCTTTGTTGCGCAAAACACCCACAAACTGAAAATGAAAGAAGCCTGCAACAAGCCATAACCATACAAGTGCTTTGCTGGCGCCTTTAGGGGGTGGGGGGGGGGGGGGTCCCACAAGCGAGTCCTTTATTTCTGGACCTAGAAACCTTAAATTTGGCATACAACTTCGTCATGATACAGGTATTACGATGAAAAAAAAATTTCACGGATCCAAGATGATGGCGGCCATATTGGATTTTCACATCATGTTTTCAAATCAATACTCCTCTGATATTTACCCATGGATTTTATTGTCCTTTGGCACACATGTACCCAAGAGGCATATAAGTTAAACACAGTCAGCATCTTTCGATATCTTATTTCGTTTCGGAGTTACAGGGAGAAGCGTGCAAATCTTGTCAAAAACGCAGAAAACGGTCAATTTTCCAAATTTTTTAAATCATAAAATGAAAACCAAGATTATTTTTTTTTTAAACGCTGACAGTGTAATGTAACCACCCCTAAGGACAACAAGTATGCCAACTGCCATCAAGATACACCTGTAATCTCAAGAGGAGTTTCGAAAAATGTGTCAACAATTAAAAAATCAAATATTTTTGACAAAAGATGAGATACTTCTCTAATTAGTGAAGATAGAATAACAATGTAAGAATAAAAAATGTTGGGCATCCAACTAGCTACGATTGTGCTAAGGACAATCAAATCAAATTACCCAATTTGACCCAGATTGACCAAAAATAGGTGGGACCCCCCCCCCCTTAACGGCCAGTCACATGTCTATAGCGCCGTAAAATATCTACTATGCAATGCTGAAGTCCTGGTGCTTAAACTAAATGTAATATGATATTCAGCAGTGGTAATCTTCTCTATAAATCGCTTTTTGGGCTAACCCAAGCTATGGCAACAACACTCGTTACGAGTTTGGCGATACGTTAATATTAATAAGACGGCACATTTCAAATGTACACTAGCCGAAAAAAAGCCCACAGTAAGCAATATCAAAATTAACGTAATCTCAAACTGTACTCTATTCTAAGCCCATTATGTGAGCACTGGGGCAATCCAGCTGAGTGCTCAAGTGAATTACGATTGGTTCCTTATCTTGCCACAATTTTAAGTCTTATGCCAACTCTGCGGCCGTAAACTTGAGCTAAGTGAACGTGGCATGGTTAGCATTGTTGAGTTTTGTCTTCAAATGGTTTGTAGTGGAGTTGTGCGAGGGTTATTACTTGTCAATGAGTGTTCAGTTCCGATGCATAATAAACGAAATTGGTTTTTAACCTTTAACAAAATTTATTTAGTTCTAGAAATCGACCCAAAAAAAAAAAGAAATCAGGTAAAAGCATTAGGTCCTCACCAACAAAGAGATATCAAAAGTATCCACCATCCCATTTATTATGACCTTGACTATCTTCAACCTGCTATAGCTTTAGTGTGCACACCCATTTTCTAGCCCCGCGAGCCGTCCCTGCTCTAATTTTCTGCTCTAATTGTGTTGTAAGTGCCGTAAACATGATTTCGATTCCAGTGTACATGTACTGATATTTTTTTTCAGCTATGTTGGTCTTTCTGGGACCGTGTATCCCCCTCAGCTGAGGTTGGCCCTGACACAGCAGGGCTGAAGCAGCCCGCCTTCTAATAAATTGAATTAAATCGTATGCTCGGTGCAGAGCACCAAAATTAAAAAGAAAAAACTTTCTCTTTTTACCATCTTGAGACTGACTCTCTTGCAGCCATCTAGATGGTGAGGGTCAACCCTCCCGCCTCCTCACCCCCCTCCCTTTTTTCCGAGGCATTTAAATATTATCCCATGTCCAGTAGCAGGTACAGCTATATTTTTTTCGGAACAAGTATATTTTTCAGAGCCGCTGTTGTTTAATTAACTATATTATCAGTATATTTCATCATATGAGGCACTTTAGAAGTTCTTGTCCTCTACGACCTCATGTCCACTTGCGTTTTTTGTCAGTTGCTGGCCAGGCTCACATTCAAATGAGCTCGTTTTCGTCAGTCATTGACTTCCTTTGCCTGACTACGCGATTTTCCTGCATGCACGCTTTTTCGTCAGCTGTACAGGTGACTAAGAAAGCCACGATTCGACTCTTTTTGAAAGGAAATTTGCATCTTTTAGTACATTTTTGCTTCTTCTTTGCACTTGTCATTATCAATAAAGTTATATCTCATTATTATATGTTGTATAGTAGTATATTATTATTTGAGCTGAAAATCAGCAAAAAATGGAATTAAAGCATTTGACCTAGATCTAGATTATTTCGTTCTCAAGAGAGCTAAAAATAGGTTAGACCTAGACTTCGCGTCACGCAATACCCAGCTCGTCATGAGCTAAAACGTATGCCAGGGATAGACTCTAGCCTCTGGGTAATTGTTTTAAAAGGCAGTCTTGTCTAGACCTATACTTATGTTTCTATAGATCTACACACCAGAACCAATGCTGAAAATGTAAATAAATAAATAAATCGCCTGTGCTGTCTGTTGTTTTCGTAATCAAAGCACATTGGGTTAAAACTAGGTTAGACCTGGCTGGTCTGACGCGGTGGACGTGGATCGTCTTGAGTCGGTTCTACACCATGCAAAAACGTCGTACATGAGCCTGACCTTGAAATTATCTTTATTTTGGTGGACCGGTAGACTAACGAAGATTTCCCTGATGAGACAACTCTATCAGACGGCAGTTAACTGCTGGTGGGGGTTCTCAGATATAAAAATAGTCCTGGTCATCGTTTTTAAACACTGCTGCTAATTGTTTCTTTTTCAACTTGTTGATTACCATGGTAACGTGAAAAAAAAAAGGCCCTCTTGAAAATATTGTCAATTTTCTTTAAGTGTTGCAACTAACGTTTAATGTTCAGTTATAAAAAGACAGTTTGAATCCTCTCTTGTTTCAGACTTTCTTCTTTGACATCAGAAGTGTCATTGACGTCTAAAGAATCGCTCCAATCGGAGACCAGTGTGACATCTGAGACCTCGGTGACGTCTGAGATGTCAGAGCTGTCGGAAACCTCGGCGTCATCTGCCACTAGTCAGACATCAGCAAGAAGTAAATCATCCGTGACGTCACCTCATTCAATGACGTCAGAACTGTCCAAGACGTCGAAGGAGTCGTTGCAATCCGAAGTGTCGATCACGTCTCCTTCATCCGTAACGTCTGGAGAATCGGACACGTCAGATGTATCTCTGACGTCACTACCTAGCAGAGTCAGCCAAACGTCAGCCATATCCGTGAGCGGCACTAGCCAGACGTCAGCCAGTAGTGAGAGCTCGCTGACCAGCGCTGAAATCTTCTGTATTCTGGACTGTAGCCACGCACCTTTTGGAGATTTTCCCGCTTGTGACAACTGTGTGGACTTCTACAGGTTAGTTGCGCGGCGTCTATTGTGTGATTGTCAGGCACCCCCGAAATTTGACAAGAAGAGAAACTTATAAGGGTAAGCGGTATTATTGAATTATCATAAACTTATGCAATATACAAATGACCTTGAAATCAGCTAAACTGGATTATCTTAAACGATTTAAATATCAGTCATTTTGATATATGCGTGCGATAGAAAGAAGCATCTGTCTTGCCACTTCTAAAAAATCTATAGAACAGCCCATGAGCAAAGATTCCTGCACAAATACTGTTAAGAATTCAAGAGCTTAGATTGCTCAAATATCAATAATACTTCCGTCCATATATTTTGCGTACAAGTTTAATTAATAATACTTATATCAATAAAGAATATTCTTTAAAATGCCTTATCTCCATGTACACATCCAAACGATGGCGGGGTCATAGACACTACATTATATCCATCAATAAGTAGTACACGTTGTCACATTAAAGAAAAAGCATCGCACAAAACAACCAGATGAACAACTCATTAATTTTTTTTAAAATATGAATGTGCGATGTAAATAAACAGTCCTGGCACACGAGTGTAACAATAATTTAAGATTTTATTAGCCACAATCGTGCAATGTGTATTTATCACTGATGTGTTGCCTGGTCGTGAAGTGTTCATGCATGTCTCCCAGGTGTGACGGGTCCGGGTCAGGCGAGAGGCGATCCTGTAGTTCTCAACTTCTGTTCAACCCGGACACTACACAGTGCGACCGAGCTGAGGACGTGGTGTGCGCGTAAGATCCGTTTGATGAGCTTTTCGAACTTGTAAGACATTTTATAAGTGAAGAAGATACAGTTATGCGTAGTGCCATATGTCCTGCAGACAGACTTTCAATATCTTAATAACCCTTCGATTTTTTGAAGTGTTGGTTGACTTCACAGGAATATAAGAGCATCAAAAAACAACAATAAATAAGGCTCGTAGATATCTGCACCTGCCCCAAAATTTAGAGAATCATTCAATTTCTTCAACTCCCTTCGAAAACTCGTCCATATTGAGTTAATTTTCTTTTTCATTTCTACTTTTGTGGCATCTGCATACCACTCCCTGTATTTCAGAAGAAGAGTGCCATAGGCTGCTTCTTTTTTTTTATCTCGGTCACTGTATTCTTTACCTCTAACCTCCCATAGTTCAGGCAAACTCTGGTACACTTCAATCCGCTCCAGAATATCTTTTTCATCCTTTGATGGCGCCATAATGGTGTAAAAAGTAAATCTTTTCATTCCGGAAGCAACTGGAAAAAAAACAACGTTTGCACAAATAAATTTGATGAAGCCCACACACGATCAAATAGTTTAACGGTTTGACAAGAAGTATCAACTGAAAAAAGATCCGTCAAATATTTGACATCAAATTATTTTGGCCATCAAACACCCCCATACACGATCGAAAACCTGTCAAAACCATTTGTGTCAAAGGTATTTGATCGAACCATCTAACAAATTTTAGCGTGTACGGGGTACTTTTAGTATTCCATACTCTATTGTAGTTGCGCGTCGAATGGTTATGCAGTTTTCTATTGTAGGCCAAATCTGCAGCTCTTTTAATTCACCAGTTATATTTGTGAGTGAATGTATTGCTATAATCGCCGGCTAATGTGGAAGTCATAAGCAGGGTGTTTTCTTTCACATTTCATAGTTTACTCTTCGCCTCTCTTTTCTCTACCTTTAATCCTGAAAAGCCTCTTTGCTTTTACACCTTCCCGTTTGTGTCCTCCCTCTCACCTTTCATCTCATACGTCATCTCCCCCTCCCCCAATCCCTTTCCGCTTTTATGTCTCATCCGTCAACTCTCCTCTATTCGCTCCAAGCTCTAACCTCTCCCCTCTCCTCTATAACCTCCCACCTCTTCACTTCTCCTCTTTCCCCTAATATCTTAACGTCTCTCTTCCCTCATCTCTGCTCTCACCTCCCCCGTATCAGCCCCCCCCCTTTTCCTCTCATTTCTTAAACTTATGCACACACACATACATACACACTCACAAACACACACACACACACACACACACACACACACACACACACACACACAAACACACCTCCCGTCCCCCTCTTACCTCCGCCTCTAACCTTTCACCTGTCACATCTCAATCCCACAACCTCTCACATTCTATCTATCCCCCACCCACACACAATTTCTACAATACTCACTCCGCCACTCTGCCCCAACCCTCCTGTAGAACGACATCTGTGACTTCAGCCACATCCGCCAACTCAGAGTCCTCCCAGCAGTCTGAGCAATCCGACGCCTCCAAAACCTCCTTCACCTCGCAACCCACGCAAACCTCACCGTCACCTGAAAGCCAGACCAGCGTGACATCACAGCTCAGTGACCAGTCGGTGACAAGTGAGAACATATACTGCGTGACGTCATGCACTAACGCCCCACGAGGGGATTCCCCTTCCTGCGAAAATTGTCAGGAGTTCTACAGGTACTGAAATAATTACCATGATAGGTTTTCATGACCCTACCAACCACCAGTAGCCGTTAGTGGGGAACTAAAGCTGAAAAGCACAAACCATTGCTTTCCTTGTCATAAAAGACACTTTGATTTAGATATTTTTCTACTAGCTATTTTGATTCCCTTTTAACTATTCACGTGTTCAGGAGACCCTATGGGTGTCATTTGTTTCATTCTGTGTATGTGTCCTATCTGTCTGAAAATCCATGTTGATACATGTAAATTGTATTTAAAAGGGGGGGGGGGTGTAAAATGAACTGACGGCACACTTGCAGGAGTTTCAACGGTTTGAAGGCTTTGAGACCTTTTGTCTGTGACTGTGGTGTGGCGGTT